GAGTGAGACCTCTGCTGTTAAACCGGAGCCGGCCATGAGCACACTGGCCAGGTATGGGAATCTCTCCACTCTCTCCACAATTGCCGCATCACCAATTGTGAGTAGTGGGGGTGGATTGTCCGATGGTACAAAATACCCAGGCATGTCCTTAGTTTTGGTGGGGATGATGGTAAGGCCCCACTTCTTAGTGGCAATCTCCAGGTTCAGCAGCAGTGCCTCCAACTCCTCCTCTGAATGAGCAGCAATCACCAAAGCATCGGCATACATAACATGGTTGAGCAATAGGGAGCCGTCCCTTGACCACACCCGGGCATCGATCAGCCTCCCATTGTATCTGTACCATATGGTAATTCCTCCGGTACAGCCATTGAAGGCTTAACGAACTACGTGGTCAAAATAGATGTTAAATAATGTGGGAGCCAGAGGACATGGCTCTGACTGAGGGCCACGTAGTTTGACGCGGGGCCGCTCACCATCATGAAGGTCTTTAAGGATCGTGAGCAAAGGGTGAGGGACTCCGAAAGCATGAAGAACAACCCAGAGGCCAGGCGTACTGATGGTATCATAGGCCTTGACGAGGTCAATAAAGCACACACATTCAACTCACACGCACGCACACATGGACTTACACTGACTCACATGGAGCCAGGCACACAAAGCGACTAACACACACGCCCATGGACTGATACACACAGACATATCGACTCACACACACAAACACATGGACTTACGCACACATACACATATGGACTGTGACACACAGACATCTACTTTAGATACACAAAGATAAAGATCCCCCGTATAGCATTCGCTAACAGCAAGTGCTGTTAGGCCAGCACCACGCCCGACCGCCTTAGTCTCCCCAGTGGCAATGTTTTTATCCACCGCACCAGGTACTCATTTAAGGCTGAGTCGACCTAGGGGAGGCCCAGTACCGGTTCAGATAATCGTCACTGGTGTTGGCCGTGAGCGGGAATCGAACCCGGGTCGCCAGGTTCATAGCGCAGCGCGCTAACCGCTACACTACCGCTCCCCGTTAGATACACACACATGGATTAACACACATATCGACTCGCACACACGCATTGACTTACACACACACACACATCGCGTGACACACACATGTATGGACTTACACACACATGTGGACTGACACACACATACACATCGACGTAAACACACACATCGACTGACACACATAGACACACAAACGCACATTGACTTACACACTGAGATGGAGCCATGCACAGACATCGACTAACACACACACACACGGACTAAGACACACAGCGACTGATACGCACACAAATGGACTGACACGCACACTTGGACTGACACACACACACAAACACTTCGACGTACACACAAACATCGAGCGTTGTCCGTTCGAAAAAGACAGACACACACATGGACTTAAACACACGCATGGACCTACACGCACACATATGGACTCAAACACACACACACATCGACTCGCACATACACATCGACGTGCACAGCAATCCCCGATGATGGCACAGCTATCAGTATCGCGGTACTACGTATGCGTAAATAGCGTGACATGGGCAATCGAAACAATAGAAATGCATTGAAGAAATAAGCAGAGATAAGTGTAAATTAAAGAGCAGCATTATGCTCAGGTAAGTTGAGAAGCGGGCTACAGTCTAGATTATAGACTGCCAGTACGCCGACTCAATGACATAAGCGTTGCTACAGTCGACATAAAAAGCTGGCAATACGGGCAGCAGCTGAAAAAGCAGGATACAGTCGACACGAAAGGCTGGCAGTACACTGAGTGAGGTAAAGAGGCAGGCAACAGATTGTAGACTGGCATACACTCATAATGGTCAAAAGGAAAACTAGCAGTGTAGATAATAGAGTGGCAGTGCACTGACGTTAATTAATCAGCAGACAGCAAGCCACATCACAGACTGGCAGTAGACCGTCGCAGCGTCATGAAAGCACAGCTAAAAAAGGGAATATTTAGCAAGCTAATAATGAAAAATTCGTTTTGTGCACACAAACATTATTATTATTGTAATATCTGCCAACGTATTTGTTTAATAATAGTAAACAATAATACTACAATAATGCTATCTAAGCGCTGTAATAGTATTAATATATACGGACTTTATAGCAGTAACTGCACGCATCATGTTGGGGGGGGAGGGGGGGGCGAAGAGGATATCACGCTGTGAAGAAATAGCCGCAGCGTTATGTGTATATTTATTGCATGTTATTGCATGTTGTGTATATTTATTGCATGTTAAACGCGTCAAAGAAAATGTCCCCCGTGAGCTCGACCGAATGCGCATCACTTGGTAGTGTCCGCCCCCCCCCCCACGCAATTGGAGTGAGTTGGTACGGTCGATGTCGCTCAATAAATAAATATAGCGAAATCCCACTAAATCGCTCATTTAACTAATTTAAAGGTGACGGACGTGAAAAAGGAATAGCCCATTCCCACCGCGGGGCTTGGGGCGTGCTGGCTGTCAATTTTTTTTTCTCCGTAAAACCCCACCGTTCGAGAGCCAAATCCCTTGCAAGCGCGCGCGCGGAGACTTTTATATATAAGATTATATTATAACAATATACTGCTGCTACAGCGTGCATCTGCCAGCACTCATTGTTGTGGGCTCACCACCAATAATGCTTTTTGACATGTTTAAAGTTTCTGAGTACATTGCCTTCTTATAGAACATCAGCCTGGGCCATCTGCATGTCTGCCGAAAGTTACTCGAGGCAAACTTGCATGTATTCCAGTAGAGATGAGCGGTTGTACTGCCTATTTAATACGTCTGGGTGCTCGGATCACATTCAGAATATGGAGAGTTCAAATTCACGTGAAGACTCGACTTGTTCCGTTCTGATGTGGGCGGGGTCGACTCAGCCTCAGAAGAGTACCTGGTGCGGTGTGTAAAAATTGCCACTGGGGAGACAAAGGCGGCTTGCCGTGGTGTTGGCCACCCACCCTCTCGTGTGCCATTGCGGCCTTCATAGGTGCTGCTCATGAACAGCATTTGCCCTAACAGTCTGTTACGGCTACACAGTGGACCTTTGTTTTGTCTTTATGTACAGTGAGGGAAAAAAAGTATTTCATCCCCTGCTGATTTTGTACGTTTGCCCACTGACAAAGAAATGATCAGTCTCTAATTTTAATGGTAGGTTTATTTGAACAGTGAGAGACAGAATAACAACAGAACAATCCAGTAAAACGCATGTCAAAAATGTTATAAATTGATTTGCATTTTAATGAGGGGAATAAGTATTTGACCTCCTCTCAATCAGAAAGATTTCTGGCTCCCATGTGTCTTTTATACAGGTGACGAGCTGAGATTAGGAGCACACTCTTAAAGGGAGTGCTACTAATCTCAGCTTGTTACCTGTATAAAAGACACCTGTCCACAGAAGCAATCAATCAGATTACAAACTCTCCACCATGGCCAAGACCAAAGAGCTCTCCAAGGATGTCAGGGACAAGATTGTAGACCTACACAAGGCAGGAATGGGCTACAAGACCATTGCCAAGCAGCTTGGTGAGAAGGTGACAACAGTTGGTGCGATTATTCGCAAATGAAAGAAACACAAATGAAATGTCAATCTCCCTCGGCCTGGGACTCCATGCAAGATCTCACCTCGTGGAGTGGCAATGATCATGAAAACGGTGAGGAATCAGCCCAGAACTACACGGGAGGATCTTGTCAATAATCTCAAGACAGCTGGGGCCATAGTCACCAAGAAAACAATTGGTAACGCACTACGCCGTGAAGGACTGAAATCCTGCAGCGCCCGCAAGGTCCCCCTGCTCAAGAAAGCACATATACATGCCCGTCTAAAGTTTGCCAATGAACATCTGAATGATTCAGAGGACAACTGGGTGAAAGTGTTGTGGTCAGATGAGACCAAATGCAGCTCTTTGGCATCAACTCAACTCGCCGTGTTTAGAGGAGGAGGAATGCTGCCTATGACCCCAAGAACACCATCCCCACCGTCAAACATGGAGGTGAAAACATTATGCTTTGGGGGTGTTTTTCTGCTAAGGGGACAGGACATCTTCACCGCATCAAAGGGACGATGGACGGGGCCATGTACCGTCAAATCAGCCAGGGCACTGAAAATGGGTCGTGGATGGGTATTCCAGCATGACAATGACCCAAACCACACAGCCAAGGCAACAAAGGAGTGGCTCAAGAAGAAGCACATTGAGGTCCTGGAGTGGCCTAGCCAGTCTCCAGACCTTCATCCCAATGAAAATATGTGGAGGGAGCTGAAGGTTCGAGTTGCCAAACGTCAGCCTCGAAACCTTAATGACTTGGAGAAGATCTGCAAAGAGGAGTGGGACAAAATCCCTCCTGAGATGTGTGCAAACCTGGTGGCCAACTACAAGAAACGTCTGACCTCTGTGATTGCCAACAAGGGTTTTGCCACCAAGTACTAAGTCATGTTTTGCAGAGGGGTCAAATACTTATTTCCCTCATTAAAATGCAAATCAATTTATAACATTTTTGACATGCGTTTTTCTGGATGTTTTTGTTGTTATTCTGTCTCTCACCGTTCAAATAAACCTACCATTAAAATTATATACTGATAATTTCTTTGTCAGTGGGCAAACGTACAGAATCAGCAGGGGATCAAATACTTTTTTCCCTCCCTGTGCATATATGTGTGTGTGGGGAGCAGTAGTGTAGCAGTTAGCGCGCTGCGCTATGAACCCAGCAACTCCAGTTCGATCCCCACTCACGGCCAACACCAGTGACTATTATGTGAACTGGTCCTGGGCCTCCCTTAGATCTACACAGCCTCAAAATGAGTACCTGGTGCGGTGTGTAAGCATCCCCACTTGGGAGAAAGGCGGAGGGGTGCGGTGCCGGCCACCCACCCTCTCGTGCGCTGTGCCGGCCTTCATAGGTGCTGCTACTCGCTAACAGCACTTGCCCCCAAAAGTCAATTTGTGCTATAAGGGGCATCTGTCTTTGTGTCCCTCCCCCCCCGCCTCCCAGGTGTGGTGGCCTGGCAATGTCCGCTGGGCCATTTCCCGTGCGGGAATCTGAGCGACGTGTGTCTGCCACAGCCGCTGCACTGCAACAACGTCGTCGACTGCGGGAACGGCGCCGACGAAGAGAACTGTGGTAAGGGCCTCGCGTCACTCCGACATCACCCGGCCCTTCCACTGTCTCCACCTCGCTCGCACTACGTTGTCGCCCCACACGCTCTCAGAGCGAGTGTGGCGAGATTGTTCCCCATTGTCCCTTAAGGGGCCCTAAGCCAGCGGTGGATTTTTTTTTTCTCCCGCATTTCCCCACGGCGAGCACGCGTGACTCTACGGGGGGGGGGGGGGGGGGGGGTTGACCGCTTTAGCTGACTTCCCACAAGCTTCTCTCTCCCCGTGTGTGTTGCTTTTTTTGTATCGTACCCATCTGTTCATGTTTGCTCCGCGTGCTGAGAAATTCTGGCGGAACTGAAATCCTAGAAGCTGGAGAAGCTACCAGCAGCGCAAAGAGCAGAGTCGGGGTGGTCACGAGGAAAGGCACACGTTCTGGCACCAGAGCAACATAGCAGTGACACCGTAGGCAGTAGTAATTCCCACAAATTGATACTAATTTTATCTACCCTCAGCGGGATGATCGTAGAATAGGATTTAAACACCGCCACCGTCTGACTGCAAGCCAAGCAACAGCACCGCAGTGTCACCCTGCTGGATTTTGTTCAACGCACGATGAAGTAAACACACAAAAAAATTTCTGTCCGCATAGAAAATAGCATTTATTACAGTCCTTGCCCGATTGTTTTTAAGCGGGCATTTGTTTAATCAGGCAAAATGCGGAGTGGTTTTTGACCTTCTGGGTCTCATCAGCAGTCAGGCTTGTTAAAAAAATCCTGCCCTGTTGCCAGACGTTATTGGCAAAAGCATTCCACTTACGCAGCCCGTTAGTGAAGAACAGCAACAGATTATTGCATAAAAACGCATTGCGCACATTGAAAAAAACATTATTTTTAGTCATAGTAGCGACCGATTTTCAATGTTTTATTTATATTTATGTTCTCTGCAAAACTTTGAAGACGGCGCTTAACACTTTTTTATGGATTATATAGAGGCATACAATTACGTAAAATGTAAAGTCTGGCACATTTCACAAACTTTTCAGTGCAAAGTGCATAAGAAAGCAATTTTCAGCTAAATGTCATTGTGAAAATACATTGATGAATGCGGATACGGTAAGTACTGCGTGATGTACTCCTCACTGGTGAAGTAAGCGGTGGTGTTTCACGTATCAAAGGGATACTACACATGACACAGCCTCGATTATTCCAGCATGCCCTGCTCCAGTGTTAATTGGACAAAGATTGAATCTAAATATTCATAATGCTGTCTCTGTGGTCTGATTCGATGGCAATGTGTACCAAACTCAAAATCAATAAAAAATGTTCAGAGTTCAAATCCTGGTGACAGGTGGCTGGGCAGCTCAGGGATCACACCACTGAAAAGGCCCCACTGAATCCTGGATTTCAGCCACCCATGATTGAACCACGCTGTCAAGTAGAGTGAGTTGATGGGTTCAGCCCGTTCACAAATTACTGCACAAAAACACACTCTGTCTAACTTGGCTAAAGTCCAGCTCTGAGTACAAAAATATTGGCCAGACTATGATGTAGCAAACAGCAATCTCTCACCACCTGTTGTTTTCATATATATGTTTAAGTCCAGTTGATGGGTTTGTCAGAAAAATGTCTAAACATAATCGAAAAAATCCTGCTCTGCAGTCAAATCAGCCAGTCATCATTCTGGGTTGTTAAAATAAGAACCACTTTGTAGGAGAGTCAAAAGTTGTTGTTACACTACCGCCATAGGAATGTAGAATTTTACCACCGGATAAATTACAGGAGAGAACATGTTTGCTTGCTGTAATGTTAATTATTTGTACATATCACCAAGGTGACATTGTATTCGCCACTATCGAAAGAAAACCATGGCATGGGAGTTATCTCACAGCATATGCACACACAGAAGCCGTGCATAATTTGTCAAAGTAGACCAGGTTCGTCTACTACCTCAAAGCGGCTGTGGATTTCTGTTACAACTCTCAAGAGCAGCGGTCGTTAAAATGCGCGCCCGAATAGTAAAGTACCCCAAAACACACTTGGCCATTCGTGGCCTAATTGTCAAGGTTGGCTTGGAAAGAACGATGGTAAATTAAAACCCTTAAAACACATTGGGCACTCTACTGGTACACACCATTTGCATTACTTATTTGTGCTAATTCTGTGTTTCATTAAAAAATATATAATCTTCTGCATATCTGAGAATTTAAAGAATAACAAGCTCGTGAAAAAACGAACAAATTAGAGCATCGTTGAGGAAATTATCAAACGAATTGACAAACTGCTCCAAGATTATTCTGGACATTTGTGAAAATCCTTCATTTTATATATTAAAAAAGTGTTTCAATTGTGCTGAAGTTACAGATAACAATTGCCTCAATGGATAGATTTTCATATTTAGCTTTCTGCACTGCATTTAGTTGTTTGCCGAAATGGAGACGCATGCTAAATTGAAATGGCATTCCCTCTAATCTTGCCTTCAAAACAGACATGCAGCCTCTATGGGCTTATACTTGGTTAAAATAACAGCTATTGACCTACTTATCCAACAACTAAGAAATGAAAAAAACATAAAGGTAAATGTTGGCTGGCACTGTGAAATGTGGTATTCTGCGATGGGTCAGCGAATATTTTTTGGCCTCTTTCAAATCTGAAGATGGACAGCTGCATGAATCATGAGCCTCGTGCACTATATTTGTTGTTAGAAAGCAGTGTTAACAAATGAACGTGGCACATTTATTTATTGTTTACTTTTTTAGCAAACTGGATTTTAGTACCTACGTTAATTATGGTTTTCGTAGGTGATCACTAACGTGCTCCGACTGATAACTATTGATCTCCATCCTGTGCCAGGCACTTTAAAAAACGTATTAATCAATTCAATATTTTGACAGATTAGCTCCTTAAGGGCTCAACAATCCGACCTCTCTGGCGACTCTGTGCTGTGAAGCTAAAACTTTTAAGGCAGTGTTAATGACACTTAATGTGTTGCGTTTCTGTTATTTGTGCTTGTGTACCACTGGCAATGCAGTATTGGCAAATAATTTGCTATCATCTACTTACCTAGGCATCTACCCACCTACCTATATACCCACCTACAGTACCTGCTCCCTATGGGTAAAACAAATCATCAATTCAATTATTCACATACATACTAAAACATAATGGCATATGCATACAAATAATATGTGTAAGCATAAATAGGCTTTTTTATGAAAATGATATGATAGAGTCATGTTAACCATTGACTCGCGAAATATATACAACCGAAGGAACAAGACGGAAAAAGGAGAAACAATGACATCGAAATGGAAAAAATGGAACAAAAATATAACCGTTGAACCAAATGGCAGTCCATGAATCGTGACAATTAATTAAATTGCTGGAGGTTCGTGGGTGGTGGTGAATCATAGGTCTCCTCGAGTCTATCTTAAACTAATGACTATGAATCAGGATGCATGCAAGCCAACTACAATCACGTTTTAATGAAATAATCAATAACGTGTTTAATTGCATGATAAAATAACATTTAATGAATGGAAACAGCGGTCCTTCTATATTAATCCATATCAGCGGTGTTTGTTTTTAAGCATTTTATTCCATTTTCTGTCCATCTGTTTTGTCTGTACGTTCATATATTTCATTTTCATTGCTGCACTTGCCCCTGACTAGAGACCTTAAATGATCATAGAAAAAAATGCACATGCTCTGCCAAAACCCCTACTGTGTTTTTGGAAGCCAGGAAAGTCGCAGAAATAATGTGAACTGGACATGGGGCAAACACATGATCTAAGATTTAGAGTAGGTGAACGGTTTTAAGGCGAGGGATTTTTGCCAAATGGAGGTAGTCTTTGAAGGCCTGACAAATGAATTCTATGAAGGCGAAATAAAATGTCGCTGCTCTTTTTTGAATGACATATTGAGCAGCATCTTGAAGTGGCTTTTGGGCAGGCGTTGGCAGTTTGGGGGCATTTTCACCTTTATTTAACAAACAAAGGTTTAATGAAAGCAGGGAGAGGTTGTCACAGAAGGCACTCAGTGGGTGGTTCGTGTATGAATCCATCGGCTCCAGGCTCTGCGTGCAGTCTGACAAAAAAAAGCAACTGAAGGATTTTTGTACATTGTACACGTGGCGTGCATGTCTGTGCAGGAATATTTGCAGAATTAAGATTATTTGAATGTTGCGAGCTTGTGATTTACATCACAATGTTTTAGAATGCATTTAACCCACTCCCTGCCCTTGCTGGATTACCTATCACAATTGTGCAAGGCTAAATGACCGAACCGAATCTTGTCAGCTTGTTTTTGGTTTTCAAGAAACATGATCACTTGATTGAATATTGTTTTCATTAATTCACATACAGTATCTGTCTTGGCCAAATCATTCATAAGTGATGAGATGCAGGTGCAACCCTACAATCGTGTTCTCACGCCATTCAGGGTAGACGAGCCTCCGGAGTGTCGAGAGAACTCCAGCCAACCCTTCCAGAGGATATTTGGCCAACTCTTCCAAGCTGGACAGACGTCTTGGAGGAGGCGGGAGTACCCCCCGTTATTTCCAGCCACCACGTGTGGCCTACTGATAGACGAACTGCGGTGAACCCCATGACACTGCTGGGTGGATAGACTATAAACTATTTTTTATTTTACCAGATAAGGCCCACTGAGCTAGATAGCTCTTTTTCAGAAGCTACCTGGCCATAAATGATAGCTCAACGAAGTGGCTTATAATGTAAAAATGTATAGCAGCCAAATACTCTAAATACATTTTTCTAAATGTGGAGGGAAAAACCGGAGGACCCATAGAAAAATCCACACTATCACGGGGAGAACATGCAAACTCCAAATATATAGGCATCAAGGTCAGAATAGAAGCCACGACATCCTTCATATCAGGCGAGGGAGTTAACATCTCGCCACTGTGGCGCCTCCAGAAGCAGTGGGGAGGGATTTCAGAAACTTGCAGTCATCGTTTCTACTTCCACGCCAGGAGATCGAACGAAATAGCGACCTCCCTGGATTGTATGTT